TCAGCCTAGCTCACAGCAACCTCAAACTCCTGGGCTCAAACGATCCTACTGCCTCAGCCTCCCAGGTAGCTGGGAGTACAGGCACGCACCACCGTGCCCAGCTAATTTTTTCTATTTTTAGATGTCTGGCTAATTTCTTTCTATTTATTGTAGAGACGGGGTCTCGCTCTTGCTCAGGCTGGTCTCAAACTCCTGACCTCAAGCAATCCGCCCGCCTTGGCCTCCCAGAGTGCTGGGATTACAGGCGTGAGCAACCGCCCAGCCTATCTGTTGACTTTCTACTATCAAGGTTGAGAATTTAGCCCTCTTTATTCCCCTCATTTCACACACACAGACACTCCCTTTTTCTTCTTCCGATAGCACAGTAAAAGTTTATTTTTTCCTCACATAAAGTTCAATACTGGTGTTTGTGGCAATGTGGTTATTCAGGATCAGGGCACTGGTTCTCAAAATGTCATCCAGCAACTCCAGAGGAGTTCCCAAGATATTTTAGAGGGTCTGTAAGATCTAAAATATTTTTGTTACAGTATTAAGGTGTTATTTGCGTTTTTCACTCTTATTCTTTCACAAGTATATGTGGGTTTTTCCAGTAGCTATGTGACATGTAATGATGTCATCACACTGGATAGCTCATGAAATTTGCGCTTATATGTTCTTATGTTTTCTAAAATTTTCTAAGGTAAGAATACATCAATTTAGATTGAATGCAGAAGCAGATATGAAAATTCATCTGTGTTCTATTAAATTACATATGAAAGAACTTTGCAAAAATGTAAAATAATGCCATTCACTAAATATTTTGTTATGGAAAAAAGTTATTTTTCTCTAAAAATATGTATGTTAATATGTATTGGGTTTATTGGCTTTTTTTTCAGTAAACACTGAACAAATGTTGATAACTGGTTTAGTTAGAAATAGATTCTGCTGTATTTTAGAATATCACTTATTTTGAAATTAGAAAGAACTGTTTTCCTTAATACCTTTCATTTAGCATGCTGTGGTTTAGGAAGTGTTTGGTATTTGATAGTAGAATATTAAAGCCTTCACAAGCTTCAACCCCGTTTGTCAGAATTTTTGTCAACTCTATATTCTCAGGAGAAAAAAAAAACTTATATCAAGAGTTTCAGGCCGGGCGCAGTGGCTTATGCCTATAATCCTAGCACTTTGGGAGGCCACTGTGGAAGGATTGCTTAAGGCCGGTGGTTCAAGACAAGCCTGGGCAACATAGCAAAACCCCGTCTCTACAAACAAAAAAAAAAAATAGAAAAATTAGCCGGGCATGGTGACATGTGCTTGTAGTCATAGCTGCTTGTGAGGCTGAGGCAGGAGGATTGCTGGAGCCCAGGAGTTGGAGGTTGCAGTGAGCTATGATGACACCACTGCACTCTAGCCCAGGCAATACAGAGAGACTCTGTCTCAAAAAAAAAGTTTCAGTCAGGCACAGTGGCATGTGCCTGTAGTCCCAGTTGCTGGGGAGTTCGAGGCTGCAGTGAGCTGTGATCATGCCACTGCATTCCAGCCTGAGCAACAGAGCAAGACCCTCTCTCAAAAAACAAAACAATAAGCCAGGCATGGTGGCTCACTCCTATAATCCTAGCACTCTGGGAGGCTGAGGCATGAAGATCACTTGAGGTCAGGAGTTCAAGACCAGTCTGAGCAAGAGCGAGACTCCGCCTCTACTAAAATAGAAAAATTAGCTGGGCGTGGTAGCGCGCCACTGTAATACCAGCTACTTGGGAGGTTGAGGCAGTAGGATCGCTTGAGCCCAGGAGTTTGAGGTTGCTGTGAGCTAGGTGACAGAACAAGACTCTGTCTC